CTATACGCGATTCTTGTTCCATTTTCAGTTTAATATCATCACAGCTAAGTACAGTATCAGGGAAATCAACTGGTTTTCTCTGGGTTGTTTTTTTGGGCAGTTTCATGAAAGCTTTACCGTATTTACTCACAAGCTGCTTTCTCCAGTTGTTGGGAACAGGAAATTTGAATCCCTCGAACTCCATTTCTTTGAGAGGAAAGATTCCACTAAGGCTGCCATCCGCTACGAAAATATCAATCATCATGCCATCATGCCACGAGCATCCGTTCTTAATGCAATACTTGTAACAACTACTGCGGTCCCGTAGTCTTGGGTTATAACTTGGTTCATACATCCCAACGATCTTGTGTCTCTTCTTCCTGTAGTTTGACGGTCTCAAAGGAGGGTCGGACTCCGAGTTTTGGAAGAAAATATCGTCAGGAAGCTTTTTGTATACCGTCTTGAAAAATCTTATATAGTCTTCTAGAGGCATTTTGATATCAATGTCTGTATCCCAAGGTATATTCCCTTTGTGTCTTGCAGCTCCAAGCAAAGTTCCGCCATGCAGCCAATATCGTAATTTATGTTCTCGAGCAATCAAATCAAAAATTCTCAACATTCTTGTAGTAATGAGCTGACATTGCCGAGTTTCCAAGGTGCCTTTTGCTCGAATATCAGGACAATTAAAACCTGTCTTATCAGGTTTATATTCACAATATCCACCAAGCTCTGTGTAGCTTTGAGGACACATGTCACCGTAGTCGAACGGCACACTACAAAGGCCTCCCTTTAATGGTCTCTCAAAGTCAGCATTTTCCACTACACCTTTATCTAAATATTCCAAATCATAGTCTGTATAGTCCGAAGGAACGCTAGGTATATCGTAAATAGAAGCTGTCGCTGGAAGCGTTGCTGGTACGAAGATAGCGTACGAATCTATCTTATTAAAATGTGGTGGTAGACCTACAGTTGGCTTCAGGTTGCCCTGTTCTAACAGCGCCTGAACTTCTTTAAACACACTGTGTTCTTCAAAAGGATTCTGTCTTCTTTTTGGATAGAAACGAACGCTTGACATCATTATGAACATAACTATACTTAAGAGGATCATAGTAGCGAGAAAAAAACGTCTGCTATTTCCGAGAATGTAACGAATCATGTTTGTCTAGAGCACGTTTGCGAGCGATTGCCCACAAATAAGAATATTCAGCCGATTCCTCTCTCTTTTGGTAGAAGATAAAAGTACTTCAGCTCTTTTAAGGAAGGTAATCGTAAGGTATAACTACTCACTCGGTATCCTACGCATGTTTGTACAAATCAATCTTCACTCAAAGCCAGCAGTAGCGTTGTTGATAACTGGTTTGCTGTGTAAGAAAGCATTTTAGTGATAGCGGTGTCGAATGACGCGATTTGCATGACATTTAAGAGATGGTTAGTTGTAACCCAATACGTCTATTTTAATTTTCGCAGTGAAGTACTCACTGACTTGAATTTCTACTATTGCAGGAACCAAGTTTCACGTTTTATTCAACCAAGATTGAGTAGTTCTTTAAGCTCAGGCATGACTTTAATGCACCAAATATGTTGCATATGTATTACCCTTTTAGAGACTCGAAAACGGGGCATAAACACAGCGAAGGCTTAAGTCAACAATGTTCATTCTCTCTACCAGTCTCTCGTACTCATTTCTCCTCTTCGCAAACGACCGGCGTCAGTGAACTTCTCCATTCCGGTATCAACAACAATATCGTCCTATTATACCCTTTTGTGTTTATCACTTTGCTCGTAAATATCTTTAATTTAACTCTTTTATTATGTTCACAATATCTATATATTATGTTTTTGTTATTTCGCTTAGTCGCCAATTATGTAAAAAGTATATGTTTTTATAGACTCTGTTTTATAAGCCTGATGGTTTCGGGACGCCCCCTTGCCATTCGTAAATTTCGCATAAAATCTATATTGTTAAAATATGAAAATTAATATGGCGAAATAAATAGATAAATAATAACAGTCCTTGACTCCAATGATCCAGGACATGGCCGTACCCCATGTCGCACCACAGTTAACAATGGTCGCACTTACAGTAAGGCTAGATTTGTGCACACTATACCGGATAGCAATCGTTTCGGCTCAATGCCGGACAGGCCTTCACATGGAGCGCTTGTTTTTGGAGTAATTTTTGTATTGGATAGATGCTGCTTCGCTCCGGTTTCAAAATGGATGCACTTTGTATCGGATAGGTTTTTGTGCCGATTAAAGTGCAGTATGAACAGCACGATCCGGTATGTAGCCGGAAGTGGTTTAAGTAAAGAGAGGAAGTTGGTAACTAGTATTAAAACCCAATCGTGGCTAAAGCTCCGTTCGACAGCTGTTCACATTGGGACCTGGAATACCATGTGCCGTTTTAAAAAGCTACCCTGTGTAGTGTGAACATAGCCAAATTGAGTTTCAGCCGAATTCCCCTGGACCCCCCGGATCCCCCAGATTAGCCCCTACTCCCTCAAAACTATGGCACCCTCTTTTGTAGCCATAGAATTCGTCAATAATACTCGCGTTTTATTTTAAGACGAAAAAAATTAGTTGTTGAAGGTTTTGTTGAATGTTCATGTTGTACAATTCGAGCAAACTGGCCATTCCGAAGATGAGGAGAGAAAAACTGGGTCGAGTTGACATCACAGTGCATTTTGGGGCTTAGACGCCATCATCTTGGAAATATGTCCCCTAAAATAGTCCCACAATGCACTACTGATGCCGAATCCACCCATTTTTTCCTCGACCTCGTGTGTCCAAGGCCTTGAATGCTGGAACTAAGGTCGTCCGTCGAGACTGAGGAGACCGTTAGCATTTCAGTTTTTCCGTATCTGGACCTTAGGACGGTAATCAACTTATTCATTTTGCATCGTTTATTTTTTATCTTGTTTTGAAATTTTTTTTTTTTTTTGATTATTAGCAATGCGTTATCCCAGAATACCCCAGGACCGCTGTCAGAAAGTACCACAGCCTCTCGCACAGCTGCATAAGAACGCACGCTTAGGATACCGAAATGAAAAATGATAATTGACTTTATTTAAAGTTTAACACGTGAAAATTGCTACTTGGTTCATGATGACAAGCAATAATTGTTGATATTTGGATTCGTTCAATGGAGACACAACAGAGACATTTTAAGACAGGCATTTTTGACAGGGGAGAGAGAGCAAAACTGTTGGACGTTTTTGCTACCTTTCCTTTCCCTCATGTTAAACAATAAATCACTATACAAAAAAATAACAATTTGCTTCAAAACTAAATTCTTGAATTACAGTGGTTCTGAGGCATGACAGGGGGTCTGGACTGCATTTAATATTTGCAATATAACGACCAAAAAGGCGATAAAAAGGATCACCTTGAAGCGCCAATAAATAAGTAAAACTTCGCTGGTACCACTCACCATTCTTTATTTACCCTAATTTTTACCACAAATGTAAATTTTCTTGCTTTCTGATTGGTTGAGAGCTGTGATAAATAAGAGGACATACAAACAAATTACGTCAAAAATTTACGAATCGCTCACGCACGGAGCAGCGCGCGCTAAAAACCGTCAACCGCGCCTCGTGATTACATACATTTCAGTGGAGGATCAAGGAACTTTAGAAAAGGGGGAGGGGTGGGTAGGGGTTACTATGCAAAGGTTTTACTAAGGATATTACTAAGAAATTTTAGAACAGGTGGTGGATAGTCCCCACCCCACCCCCCCCCCCCCCNCCCCCACACACACACACCCCTTCTTCACCACTTCTGGATCCGCCTCTGCATTTTGACCAACGGAAAACGTGATGTCGTGGTAAATAAGAGGGCACGTTCCTACCACGCAAAACCATCGGAATTTTCTTAATTTTCTCATATCCTAATTTGAATAACGTACACTTACACTATTGATCTGGACTGACATCGTGTTCACTGCAAGCAGAAAAGCTAGTTTTTTCACATGGATGAGAGGCTAGTCAGTCTAGAACAATGGTTATTCAATTTCGTATAAATGTGATGAAATTTTGTATCTTGATTTGTGTTTAATTTTTTATTTCAAACCTACTTTTTTCGGCTAAAAGTCACTTAGTAAAAGGCTCCGACGAAGGACTAGCGGCCGAAACGTCAGTAAGTTTTTTCATCTTTTCACGGTGTACTATATTTTACCTTTTTATCAGTACTGTTTCATTAGAAACGTCGACGCAGCTCGTACTAATTTTTAGCTAGTTATCTCCACTAATATTAATGCATAAGTTATTTAATTAGAATATCTATCTATATCTATATATATATATATACAGTATATATATTCAGGAAAAAATATTTAGCAATTCTTAGCTGCTGCCAATAGTAAGGTAAAACACTCGTAGTTTTAAGTAATTAATGATCGCGTGTAGGTTTTACAAGTTCGATGCTCGGCTTTAAGGGCTTTAAGGGGCATTCATAATAAGTTAACGCTAAGTTATGCTTATGACCGTCGTCTGCTCAAGACTTCTTCCACAAATCACTATTGACAATATTCAAAACACAATATTGAAAGTAAAATCCGAAACTAACTGAGAAATAATCAAGAGAAAATTAGTTCCGATTTAGATCAGCCCTGAGGCTATTTCAGTCCCCAATGGGGTAAGGGCTGTGGGGTATTCTAATATATCGAAGGGTACTCAAGGGATGATCGTCGTATCTTAATCTTATTGGTCGAAATCTTAAGTCACTCTCTCTTTTAAGAGTGAAAATGGAAAAGCTATAGGTTTTTAGTACGTCTCGAAAAATAGTATTTATCTTGAGATTCAAAGTGGTATCATTTAGAACTAAAATTAAGCCAGAATCAAGCGCAATATCTCTCTTTTTGGGCGGTTAAATTTATCTTTTTTGACGATCATCCAAAAAACGATCATCGAGTACCAATCCCGACACCCCGAAATTTTAGAAAAGAAAAGAAAAGAAAACTTCGCACTCCGCCGCGCTCTCACATACCATTCGACGCAGTGTGTTTGTTATTTAATGGTAGATAATCCCAGATTAAAGTGTGATCAACTATTCAAATATTAGTTAAACAAAAAACTCAATAATCCATTTTGTCCGGCAAATATTGCGTCCCACGACGCAACGCAGTCCTCGTTTTGTGGTTTTCATGGCATTCAGAAATTCAAATATCTGAGAAATTTCTAGAACATACGTCAGTCAGCAAGCTCGATCTCCGCATTCGTGGTTTTGTAGGCAGACTTGATTCGAACATCTGAACGAATTCATCCAGTAGATCCATCCTTGTCAAGCCGCGCATGAAGTATACATTTAGCTAGAGCAGTGTAAGAAGCTGTCCTGTTATCAATACATGAAAGGTTTTTTTTTCGCGGGTTAAATGTGTTTTAATTCCATATGATTATCATAAAATGGATTGCATGTAAGTTGTCTTTTGATGAGGGTTTTGTTATGATTGTTATTTTTTTGTAGCAGGAATTGCCTGTTGTGGTTACCCACTGTCCAAACACACAACGACTGCAAAGAAGAGAGTTCCATCACCAGGAACTCGACAACCGCACGTTGAGTTCGTTCTTCCAGTTGGTCCAGTGAGAGTCTTTCTAGATAAGGTATCTAAGAGTGGCTTTATTTTATTCTTAACGCTCAGAATGTTTTGATGCTGTGAACCACGACTTGAAAACAAACTTTTAGTACTGAAGTCTCAGATACAAGGTTTCTTTATCGACCGTAGATAAAGAATCAATCATTCAACTTTTACTGTTAAGCCCAAGACCTAGAGATGGGCCAGGACGGGGTGGGGTAGACCTTTTTAAGTGGGGGGGAGGGGGGACGACACAGTCAAACTTCCTAACCTTGGAATCTAATGAAGGTCAAAACTCTACACCCCCGGCCAGAATGAACAGATTCTTTAACTTAAAACAGATCAAGGAAAATGACAAATAACTTTCCCTGAGGGACGGGTTTACCATTAAGCAATATCGAACTCTATYCTTTTAGAAATAACATAGAGTCGAAAAGTTTAATTTTGACTGATTCACACGGAATCAAATATCGCAGCAAATCAGTCCATCAAGCAAACAAAGAAGGATCGGAATTACATCAAACAGAAGACAATAGCTGAAAGGTTTCGTCATTAAGACATCCTTTTAAATCTTGTCCATCCTTTTAACTTATACTCTAAGTGCAATGATAGGACATTCTTTCCTAGGGCTAGCTATATTAACTGTAGCTAGACGATTGCACTCTTCCATTAAGCTCGACTGTGACTATAAGGGTTTACGAGTAGATGGAAGGCGTTCGTCATTAAGTAGAGTGCTTACTCATTCCTGGGGGACAAATTAGTGCAAGCGACAAGAATTGTTCAGATTATGCATAGCCCTTAACGTCTATTTCTTTCTCTCTCTCTCTCTCTCTCTCTCTCTC